GAAAGGCACCTGGTATACACTGTAATTACACAGGCCCTGATTTTAAAAGCGCTTAGTACCCCCAGCTGGGGCAGTTTTTCCAAAGCCTTCAGCAGGGCAGAACAGGCCTTCTCAATTAGCCAAGGCAAGCCAGGTTTGGTGCCATGCTGAAAACTACTGAACAGCGCTATAAGGTTAAAATCTCAGCTGGCCAGTCAAACTTTTGTTCAGGGACTTTTGTGAAAAACTCCATTTTCCACTTCCTTTCTAACTAATCTAATCTTCTGGCAACTCCTCAACGGGTCTCCTCCTCTCCCCAAAAAATAATAGGTCGTAATTTGCTAATACAATGTAATTCCACCAGGCTCAATACCGATAGTAGTAATGAATCCTTAATCAGTTATTGTGCTGTTAACAAGGAAATCAGCAGTTCATGTGCCAGAACGCACCCGAGAGGGACCAGCTGTGAGGCTGCGGGGCTCAGGGTACCCCGAGGTGACACACCGCAGGTGGCACGACAGCCCCCGAGGAGGGCAGCAGGGCCAAAGCTGCCCTTCACTGGCAGCTCAGCCCCACCACACCACGCCAGAGAGAGCCCAAGACCTGGTCGCTCCTGGGTGGGAAGCCAGAGGAACGAGAAGGCTGGACCCACAGGACAGCACGAGAGCATATTAAAAAAAAAAATCCATAAATTCCATAAAGCAGAAAAAATATTAAACAAAAGAGAAGACCACAGTGAAGATGAAAATCGCCAAATACAGGACAAACCCACATATCCAAAGCAAACTCACCACCCCAGCTATGCCATGCAGTCGGGCTTTCCCCCTGCGTCCCTGGGACATAGGGCGCAAGGAACATTTCCTACTGCAGAGAGGCAGCCCTGCAGGCACCGCCGGGCCTGGCTGGGGAGCGGGGCCTCTGAGTCCATGCGGGAGACCACGCTTTCTCTGCCACGCTGCCGCCAGGCCCGTCGCTAGCGGAGCTCAGCTCGGCTGCCCCTTAAACACCCTTGTCTCTGTGAGGTAGCACAAAGGCCTCTATGAGCTGGAATTTGCCTTTAGGTGTAGCCCTACCCCGGCAAAGACGCCGAGCTGTCTAGAGGCACACACAGGGTATACCCGGTCTCAAAAATACTCTCACCTGCCCTCCTTCTTCCCTCTTTCCTTAGCCTCCCAAAGGAGGTAATTCACTGATGATGCTTTCCCAAACTGCCGGAAGGGAGCACGGAAATAAGCGTTAAACAGAAGAACAAAGACGAGTAGGAGTACAGCATTATTTGAAACTGTAGTAGCTGTAGCATAAAGGAAAGAAAAATGCACTCAGCTTTCAAGTTCCTCTTGCCAGATGGATCCGTAATTAAATCATTTGCACAACAAATAAAACAATTGCAGGCTGCTAAGTTTTTAGGTAACTCACACAAGAAGTTATTGAGACATTTTGGCTAAAATATTACAGGATGTCCCTGTAAAGCCATTCCAAAATTTAAACTTAAGAGTTGATTGTTACAATGCCACACATGGCTACAGATGGTTAAGGGACATACTCATATTGTTTTATCATTATTTATTAAAATTTTAAAAAATTGTATCAACTATAGCATCTAGTGAGTTTCTGCACACCTCTGCCTGCCTCTACCCAGTTTTGAGTCACACTGAGCAGAACCTTATGCTGTAAGCGATCAAAATGACTCACTTTCAGAAACTATATTGAATAATCTTTTTTTTCTGTCATGGCCGAAGACTTTTAAAATTGTATTTGCAGAAATGTAATCTTTCAAATGAACTTTTGTCAGTCTTAGCTACGTAATGGTGAAGAATCTTTTTATTTTAGGATTAAATCACTCCTGCAGTATAGTTTTAAGGTCTTCTACTTTAAATTGGTCTTCAAATGTATCTGAAAGTGTGCAGCTTGTTAGCTTACTACCAAATACGGATTTGGTCCTGGCGCTAGTGCAAGGCAATATGTACCTGACATGGCTGAGCACGTACCACCAGTACATGAGAGGGCCTAATTTCTTCGTCCTTAAGCAGGAGTATAAAGAGTAAGCAGGGAAGCTATGGAGCGGCACAATTCTGGTTTCTTCCCCACCAGTTCACTGATGAGACGAACCCTGAACTAGCCCAGGACCCTGACTGGAAATAACGACTGCCTCTCCCAGCAGCCAAAGGGAAGAAAGATGGGCGCTCTCTGCTACACGATCCCTATGCACCACATTTCTCACACTCGATGAGAAGCTTATGTCGTGTTTTACTATCTTATCTTGCTTGAGGTAAAGTTCAATCATCATTCAGCCTGGCAAACCCACCCCTCTGGCCTACAGGTTCACCTGAACAGTCCTATACGATGGGACAGATTTGAATAGGTTATAAAAGGCTGAAGAATTTAGCCTCAGAAAGTGGGATTTCTTAAATTACCTGTGTCACAATTTCAGTATGCTACAGTCAAAGAAACAACCATTCAACCTCAAATAAGTCTGATCTTAAAACACAGAGAATAATAATTAAAGTAAAACCTGGTACCTACCTACTTCAGCCAAAGTTTTGATACATGACTCCACTGAGGCTTTCTGAGTCGGGTTTGGCCAGGTACAGTTGTAAATTCTAAAAGCAGATTGCAGCAGCTGAATAAAAACAGGCTGATGAGTCTAAAAACAAGAAGATAAACACAGAATTTTATGCTTTAGAACCTCCTCACAACTGCCCTAGGGTTTGACACAACATAAAATACATGCGTGGGGTTTTTTTTTTTTTTACCTTGTGTACTCAAGCTACAGCTCAGTTAAATTCTCTTTGCTCTTCAGGACAAGAAGGAAAACAAATCAATTCTGCACCCTTAAAAATGCCAAATCATGCAATTTTTCCTCAGGTAAGATCGCCACCGATATCAAGTAAACACAGTACAGTGCAGAAGGACTGAGGAGTGTTCCCAGTTGTCAGATACACCCCCTTTTGTCATAGGGCACAGCATTTTTCTCATGAAAGTACAAATGAAGACCTTGATTTTGCAAAGATATCCTCTCCGCTGAATTCAGAACAGCCAGGAGTAAATCTGACCATACTGAGCTGCCTGCTGGTTCAGAGTTGTACGAGGTAAAAATTAAGAATAAGTGTTTTTAAGAGGAATTAAGCTGCTAGCCAGTGGCATGAGAGGAGACAGATAAATGAAAGGAGGATACAGCATTCCTACCTGGCTAGTAGAAAGTATCTCATTATTGGTCTGAATTACATATTTGTCTGTCTCCCTTTTTCTTACCTGGAGGCTGGTGCTGTTATCTGAAAACGGAGAATTGAAGAAGCCACTCACAATGTTCATTACTGGTTCTGTGACATATTTCTCCAGAGAAGTGTCTGCATGTTTTCGATCTGTGGTTGTGTTACAAACCTATAGGGAAGAAAGGGGAAACAATGAGATCGAGTTCTTTTAAATAAGTAAGCTATACTACTTTGTATTTATTATAACACATGTAATGATATCTGTTCTTAGTATGAAAAAGAATGATTTTTATACAAAAACTTCTGGAGAATAACTGTCTTAGAGTTCACGCTGTATTTGTGATAACTTAGCTTTTGTCTTGGAGACCCGCATTGTCTTTCGAACCCTCTTCTCTCCCAAACTAGCTCTTGGTTGTCTATTCTATCCACACAATGAAAAAAGATCCTCCTTAATCAGCACTTACACATTTAGACAGATTCAAGAAGAAAATGGACCTTTCCTACCATTGTGGAGCTAGGTTGGAAGAGGCTTTAGAGACAGATGAGACATAAACACATTAGGTTAGAAAGACTTCACGTAATGTTTAACTTCTCTCTACAATCAGTCACCACAAATGGGTGGTGAAGGTTAAGCTCATTTGCAGAAAAAATGTTAAAAGAAAAAGGAAAGAGGAGGAAATAGCAGAGTCAACACCAACAGCCTCTGGGACTGGGATTGTAAAGTGTAAAACAGACAGCATTACTTAGGAAAGCCACACGGGGAAGATACGAAAGATAAGTTAAAAAGAATGAAAGAAGAGAATGGATAGTACTGGAACAGCTTTGGAGCACAGAAGGATGATTAAATGGTGGGAGGATATCGGAAGAATCATACATGCGATTCCTGAAGGCAGCCTTTGGTATAACGTTAAAAGTTTGTTCTCGCACAAAGAAAGGAGCTGCTTAAAGAAAGGAGAAAAACTGCTGGGCTGGCATGCATGTTTCAGTGTTCCTTCCCCCCCAACATTTGAGAACATTTATATAGAATCATTTTGATTTTGCACTTGTCAGTGAAAACAGTACTAAAACAAGTGCAAGTCCAAGAAAACAAAGGGTAGGTTTACTATTCGATCAGTGTCTACATAGACCCAATCACGCTGAGAAGGACAAGACTAGACAGATAAGGAGTATGGACTCATAGTAACTCTTCAACAGCCTTTAAATAAACAGTTTTAATAGTGTTTAAAAAGAAATTAAAGGCAAAGGTGCTCTCTCTTTCACCTGTGCAAGCAACAGGCTACTGTAACGCTTTAGGAAATCTATGCAAGAACAGAATTTATTTTATTTCTAGGCTTTTGGGATAGCCTTCAAATTACTATCTGAGCATTTAACAAATACTCATGAATTTGCGTGGTACATACCTATCATTGCATCACATTATGCATGGGGAACTGAAGCCCAGAGAAGCGGGCTGAGTGAATTGCTTAAGGTCACAGAGAAGAGTTGGTGATAGAACCCGAAAGATAATCCACAGCACCTGAATCTGACACAGGGCCAACACGCTCTCCAATTACAGAGTGCCGTAGTGGCACTGGGACACTACAAGACAGCAGTTCAGGCAATTTCACCAGGAGCGTTTTAAAGAAGGTACTGAGGTGACATTCAAAGCACCAGCCTTCAGCGGGCAATACAGGTCACTGGAATATGGTGGGCAGAGGAGTAACCAAAGAATAACTTTGAGACCTACAGGACCTTGAGGAGGCTTGCTTGTCTGTTCTCCTAAAATGTGTCGAGTAAGCAAGTCATGGGCCATGTGCAGCGCTTTTTTTTTTTTTTTTTTAAATCACTCCAGGAAAGGAAAGGTTTATTTGGACAGAGAAGTAACCATGGCTATAGTGATATAGTAAATCCTTCCGTTCTGGGAGAAGTATGACTCTCCTCCCCGTTACAGTCCTCATGGAGGTAAAAATGAAGATACAGTTAATAATCAAAACTTTAAAAAAGATCATAGACTGAAAACCTCTTGATATTCTTCTGTTTTTAATTAATCTGCATGCCAATTTTGGCTGGAACCAGTAGCTCTGAGGCTCAGTGTTTGTGATCCCAATGGGAAGACAGGGAGCTGTGCAGTGCTGACACAGTGAATTTAGAAATCACCAAAACTAAATTCCAAAATGCTTTTAAGCTTTCCCCTTCACTTGTCTAAAAAGCAAAGCCATATGAGAGGATCCCAGTCTCCTCAAATATAGGTCTGAAAATTTTCCATCACAGAAAAGCAATTTGGAAATCCTCTCATTCGTTCTTTCCCCTTTGGGGACTGAAAGATGTTTCTCTGTGGAAGAAAAAAACTGAAGTGCATGAAATGGAGATGAGAATTGAGAAAGCAGTGTTTAAAAACCTCTTAAGAGGCTTTAAGACCAAAACTCACATGAATAATGCTTCAAAAATTCTGCTGGGAAAGCCAGGAAGACTTTACAGCTGTCAGACCCTGGCTCTTTCTTTAATCCTGCTCAGAATACAGCTGCTGCCTTCCAGAGCCGGCCACACACAAGAAAGGGAAGCGTTTGCCTGAGCAGCACATGCCTTGCTTAGCGCAACACTCTCTCTAAGCAATGCATGGGAGCAAGTAGGTTAGCAGGAACTGTGGAAAAAGGCTGCCTTGGAAAGTGCAACTGCATTGGGCAAACCGAATTTATATGTGAATCTGCCTGGTGCCTGTTTTGCAATGGACCACTCTGGTGAAAGCAGAAGGCAGCTGAGGACTAAATAACTCCTTCTTGGGTCTAGAAACAGATAAAAAATTTGGTAACTTTAAGCAAAAAAAAGAAGAAGGAATCCAACCTGAGGATAACACTGTCCATCTTTCACCTTAGTGCTCACTAATAACACACTCCGACTCTAAGCTTGCAAACTTACCCACTGACAGGCATTTGTAGCGGCTAAAAGGAAAGCATTTCCCCTTCCCCCATGCAAAAGCATCTCTTTTAGCTAACTGGAACACAGAGGATCAAAGGCTCTTTTTCTAAATGCTTTGAAAGCTATTGTAACATCTTTCATGAAGCTGACAGCATTCTAACTGTCCTGATAGCTACATAACGCTGATGAACTTACAACATACGAGCTCTGCCTGGGTCCCAGAAGACCAAATCCAAACAAACACACACACTCAATAATCTAGAAGCGGGGCTACCCACAGGCCCTGGCTGAAGAGCAGAACAGGCCAGAGCACGCTCTTTCCGTTCTTTTAGCCGCTAACCATGAAATGAAAAGGATTAATTAGACATCTACCCTGAGTACTTTGCAGGCGAGCGGAATAAAACTGCATTTTGCAATTCTTACTCAGTGAAAAGAGCACACGCACAAGAAACGCAGAATTAATAACACACTCACCACTCACCTCTGAAGACTGGAATCTAACTTCTCTTATTAGCAGGCAATGTGAAAACAAGCTCGGTAGTCACTAGCACCAGGCTAACTCTACCTCATTTGGCACAGGGCTATATGACTGGGGAGCCGCGCTAAGGGAAGCCTCCAGGCTGGTGAAGCCAAACTGTGGGCAGAGCCCTCTTGCCACATATGTCTGCTTCTGCCTGAAAGGTAATGAACACTGGTCACGTCCCAGGGTTACTACACAGCGAGGTCTGTGTAGCGCGGCCAGTGCCAGGACGTGTCAGGCAAGGTCAATCCAGGAAGGTAAATCCAGGGGGTAAAAACAGCAAGGCTAAAACCAGAGCCCCCTTCCAAGAAGGTTTCTGATTTTAGTTTTCCAATATGCCTGGTTTGTTGAGATGGGCTTTACTGTACAACACAGGCACAGAAACAAGACAAATAGCAGCAAGATCACATCTGTAGAGGTCTCATTACTGCTGAAAATGGCTTCCACCAAAAAACATTTCTGTGTTAACTTGTTCCTAGAAACAAGGGGAAAAATATTTTATAAATTTTCTGTTTCACAGAGAAATGAACAGGCCCCAGTGCCTATAGTACAGCACAAATCTCTGCACTCATTCTTCTTTTGGCCATAAATCATGGTAACTATGGGGGTACGGTACTTTCTCCCAACAGGTTTCAAAGAAACTATTTTATGGCACACTATTATTTTGGTGTAAATGCCCACGGCAGGACTGAATGGAGATTCTTTCACCTTTTTTTCCTTAATTTCAACAAAATAAACAATGCAAGGAGTGAGAATTTAAAGATTATAAAACATAACGCATCACACACTGGGCAAGGCCAGGCACGTGCTACAACCCTGCTCTGTAACATCTCCAGAAAACAGACCAGCAACAACAGGGATGAGGCCACCAGCACTAAAAATTTATGTTTCTACTTCTTGAACAGAAAAAGCAACTCCATTAGTTGGCATTAATAGTAGGCTCTTGTGAGAAACACTACCTGCTAGAAAAGGGATACGCAACGTAAGCTGCGATCATTATGTCACACTGGTTTCCCCTCATGGTTCTGCTACTGTATTTCATCCTTCCTAAAGTTGAAAGATTTCCCTATTTTTCTGCCTCCTGGGCACTGGTGAATGGAAGCTTAATTTGACTTATAACTTGAAACTTAATTCAACAATAATGACACCGAGAAATTCGATAGGGTCCACAGGAACTGAATGCCCACTGTACTAACCACATCCCATCACCCTGTAGCATCACAGTCTATATGAGAATTAGTATCCTGAAAGAGCATGGCTCTACACCTGCCTTCTGTGTCAGCAGTGAGAATGCAGTGACAGTAGAATAAGAAACAAAAACAGGACAACGTAAGACTAGAGAAGGAACATGAGGCTGAAGAATTTCTTGATTCCTGACCCTCACTGTACTAATAGACTACAGCAAGGAGAGATACAGATTTTTTTTTTTTAAATCACCACCATAATTACATGTAATACGTGGTACCAGAAGTACAAACCCTCACCCCTCCATGTGCACCCCAGTTCATATCCTTTTCTGGTAGGAAAAAAAAAAAAAAAAAAAAGGACAATGGTTCTGAGATGATCTTTTAGAAAGAGAAGATTGCTAGTAATTAGGTTAAACGGTGATAAACAAAATATAATAGAAATGATGACCCATTAAAAAAGACTTATGGTCAATTTTGAAAAAAAAATAGTTAAAAAAATATTTTTATTCCATATATTTTATTAACCAAACATAATTCACAAGAAAATTTATTACCAGTTCAGTTGCTACCCACGAGTACACTGTATTTAATGCCTCATTAAGCTTACCCTTGCCATATCAACAAGGAAGTTCTCAAATAATTTCCAAATATGGTTACTGGCATAGATTTCTTTCATTTCCACTTCAGTGTCCACATAACAGTGGTTAACAAAATTAACATAGGCAATTTTCACCTGCAGGAGCAGCAAACATATGAACAATGTGAAAACGGAACACCGAAAATCATTGCCATGCTGTTTTCTATCTGCAAAAATACTGAACAATAAAGATGATTCTTCAAATATGAAGAAATACTATTAATAATGCATACGTTAGGTTCTGAAGACTTAACAGATAACCAGTGCAACAACTAATATACTTACTGAAAGACCATGCGCAGAGCAATGAAAAGGTTTTGCAAACATTCTTACTCAAATAGCAAAAAGCCAACAACTAAACCAATAATAAATCTACTAATAAAATGACAGTAAAACTACAAGGGCCTGGCTCCAAAGTCAGGAACTGCCAGCATGCAGGACACCCATACATTTGTCAATTGATTCTTGTGGGTTGATGCTTCATGATAGGCTTGCCAAATACCACAAATGAGGTCTTTAGCAGAGCTGGGTCTGCAATGCCTGTTCCTAGGATCATAATGCAGTGCTTAATCAAGGGTGGGCACAATTCAGACCTGAATGGAAGAGAAAGATTGTGCAGCACCAGGGCTGTAGCAGTGCAGGGCTTAACAGGAGGAATGCATTGTCACTCCTCTCCTACCTCATAAACCTGCACCATCCTATAAATGGATACCCAGTGCCTGAAATTTAAATATTAAATATAAACATATGCATGCACACTGAAAATCTCTTTTCATAGTCAGGGGAGAGGAAAGAGTCGCATACGTTTAATGCAGTCAGGAGAAAACTCATAAATGTTGTAGACTTTTAGGTTTCATTTATGTGGACTTTTTAATTAGCAGTTGTTCACATTAATTTTAGGAGGACCTTTTGAGCAAGCAAGTATTTTGTTTCTAACAATAGTATCAGCTGATCACAAAGAGACTTTCTCTTGGCAGGGAAGGATTATTTACTGTCATAAGGCCTAATCCTGTTCGCACGTTCTTCTTCTGAGTTACATTCTTCCACCCTATAGCCTGTAGAAATCCCTCTGATCAACACCCAGGGCCTGAACCAGCTCCTGCAGAGACTACAGAAAGATGCCTTTTGATCACATCAGGTTTGGTGCAAGGAGCGTTCCCAATCTAATCAGTGTGAGGTATCACATCCTACTGAACCAATACCGGTAGTATCTGCAAGATTAGACCTCTACATGCAGTGAACAAGAGCACGTGCCAGACTGGAAATCAATTTAATAAAACCAGACTTCACCCAAAATCCTACTGATTTCAACATGGCCAAAATGTTATCCCATAATGTCCAACAAATTCAGGTAGTTGCAAAATGTTAGCTTGACAAATCACTGAGCTGACTCTTCACAGCTAACAGCAAGAAGCTTAGTGGAGGATTAAATTCTGATAGTGGCTGCACGAACCTAGAAAAACCCCAAAAAGTTGACAATCAAAGTGCAGCACAAGGGATAAAGTTTTCTTGTTTAAGAAAACATTGGTTATCTTTTCCCATTTATTCACCTTAACAAGCAACACAGCTAGGTCAGTCAGCCTGTTTTCTGGGCAAATTTCAAGCAGTCAGAATTTTAGAAACTCAGAAAATGTTTTGCTGTTGATAATAATCAGTCTGCTTCGTCATTCACTGAGTCTTACCTCAGGTATGCAATCATCATGGGTCACTACTCTCACTATATCATCCAGTGGTAGGAGTGAATTGCACTTGATCTCCGTATACACATTCTTTCCTTCTGTGCAAGCTGCCAGCAATTCCACTAGCGTAACATGATAGGCTAAGGGTCCGCTCTCATCTGCTCGATCTCGCTCTGAGCACA